ATTAACTGGAAGCAAATGGATATTTCTTCAAATTAAATGTTAGAAGAAAGAGCGGGAAGATAAATAGAAGCTACTAGCTAATTTCAATATTCCTCATCACAGGGAACCAATAGACAATGTCTAAAAGGGGAAGGACAAAGGGTATTGTATAAGGGTGCTGATTTAATGGTGACCATCAGAATAAAAATGACAGGCTTTTCCCCACAGAGGTAGGGGAGTAAAATGGAAAAATAATTTGAGAGCACATCCCCTTTTCACATGACTTGCTAGGCCCACATGCCCTCTTTCCTCTCTTCACCAATCTTGAATGATATGCCTCTTACAGGCAGCCTTCTCTGACTGACCTCGCACAAATTACTCTTCCCCCTCATCTGTCTCTCCTAGGTATGCACACCTGGTTTTGTGAATGTTTTATCTCGCCTGAGCACAGAGATGGAGTGCTGTGTGTGATTGTATGGCGCCTCTTTCAGAGTCTGACACAGGGTTCTGCACAGAGAAGGCACTGAGCATAAATGCTGGTCCATCAGTAATTCAGGAGTGATTGGAGGATTTAGGCTTACACCCTCTGGATTTTTCTAACAGCTGAACGTTGCTATTAGTATTCTTTCAGTTTGAAGGGACAGCAATACAACTCAAATTGACTTAAGAAAAAGAGGAATTGATAGGCCTCTGAAATTGACTATTCTAGGGCAGAACTAATTCCAGGCCTGCCTGGATCCAGGGGCTCACGTCATATCACCAGTGTCTTTGCTGTTGCGTCTACTTTTGTGTGTTGGCTTTATTCTCAAACAAACTCTTCCCTCGTGGTCAGGGTGGCTCCCAGCAGTCACAGGCTTAACATCCCCAGCAGAGAACAACGTGTCCCATTTGCAATCAATAACTCTAATAAAAATCCCAGGATTGAATTTCATTGGCTTGACTTGCAGCGTATGCTCATCCCTCAACTAATCACTGTGGCCAAGAGAAATGCTTCCATTGGCCACGCCTGCATCGTGTGACTGTCCAGCTAAATCTACCTGAGTGGGGAAGAGATGGCTTCCCAAAGGAAAACTGAGGCACTGTCACCTAAACAGGAGAGATTGGTGGATGCTGAGCAGACAAAACCAGCAGATGCCCATTTTAGTGCTGCCAGGCTCAACGAATAAACTGAAAGAAAAATTACCTGCAAGTGAAAGTCATCTTGGGGGCGCGTCTCCGGGGTGGGACTGAAGCTCTCTTTGGTGTCTTTTAACGCACAGAGAGTCTATTCACCGTGGTGGGGAGGGGCGCTCTGCTGCGTGGGGGTCCGGGAGGTGGGGTAGCCGGCTTCCCGGCAGGTCTGGGGGCTTCTGTCCCTCTGGCCCGCACGCTCAGCAGAGCGCGTTGGCGCGGGGACATGGTCTGTGCAGGCGTGGGCTGTGTGGCAGGCTCCAGCATGTGTGGCAGGCACCGGCGTCTCGGTGAGTCGCACCCAGGCCTGGTTTTCTGTTTCCTGGGCTAGCAGCGCTGTCTTCTGCTTCGCCTGTGGTTTGCTGACCTTACAGGGCAGTGCAGGGACTCCACTGAGGAATAGGGGGGAAAGTGAAGCAAAACAGAAGGAATTCAAAATATGGCCATTTTTCTCCTGAATCGTTAACACTTTTTTCTCAACTGGAACCTTCCCAGAAACATTTAAGCACCCTTAAGTTTCTACTAAAAATCCTCCCCAAATTTTAATTATCCACTTGCTTACCATCCTATCTCCTACCTCCCTTTCATGGCAAAATTTCTTGAAAGAGGTTTTGCTTTTGTTTTAATATTCCCTCTCTCCATTCCCTCCGACCCACGTCTCAGTGCGCCCCAGTCTGCGGCAGCCCGAGCCCGCCCTCCCCATGAAGCAGCGCCCCAGCTCCTCATTCAGCTCCAAGCCCCTGAGCCCGGTGCGCCTGTGCCGGGAGGGAAGCATGCATTCATTGCCTGGGTTCGGAAGAAGTATCATCTTCAATTTCCATAAGTATTTGTTGAATGATTTGACAAACTTGAGCAGATCCAGGACAGAATGATTTGTACCATGTAACCAAATCCCAAAGAGAGAGATAATACAAGTGTTTTGCCTGAACGGGGAGAGTTCTGAGGTCCACTGGGCACCATGTTTCCTTTGCATCTTTAAACAGCTGCCACATGGAAGCCAGAGATCTGGTCTGGGTGACCCCAGAATGAGAAACCCAGGAGGAGAGTCCTCCACATCTTAAGAAATATTCTAACAGAGCTCTCTAAGAAGAAAGGGCTTTCTCCCTAGGAATGAGGCCTCTGTCACTCACGGTAGTCGAGCAGAGACTGTCCTGTCAGGAGTGCGCAGAAGCGAGACCAATGCTGGGCGAGAGGTTACACCCGAGGACTTCTGAGGCTGATCCCAAATCTGAAGTTCTGGGACGGATTAAGCATCTCTGAAGGAGGGCCTCTACTTCCCAGCTGTGTGCTCTTGGGCACATTACTCAGCCTCTCTGTTCCTTAGTCTCTTCAGCTGTAAAAGGGGGCTAATAATAGCACCCACCCCATAGAGTTGCTGCGAATGTTCAAGTGCAGAACGCACGAAGGGCCAGGCACGTGCCTGGAGCATCGCAAGTGGTCAGTAAGCGTGTGCTGTTCTTTATATTCAGTGCCAAACCCTGCTCTGTAGGTGACACTAGCTGCTCAGGCATGCGTCCCATCGGCTGCATCTGGATTTGAGCTGTGGGCGTTCCTTGGTAACTTCTAGGTGCTGGGCTCTAAGGAGCCCAGGGGAAAGCGTGCAAGGAGCCACTGCCATGCCCCTTGTGCTTGTGCGTACCAGGCCGGCCACAGCAGTTTTGTCAGAGGGGACCTTGGGAACTGAGAAAGTAGTTGCCTCATGTATGGCATAGGAAGCCTGAAGGGGAATCTGTTTTGAAAGGTGATAAGGATTCTGTGGGCCCCCCTCACCCCCTCCCGCTCCTGCTGCTCAGACGCACCCCCTGGACAGTCTCAGACAGTTTTCTCAGGAGAGTCTTGAGCACAAGGAAAGGAGAGCATCCGCTTGGCTTAAACATGATGGACTCGCGAGCAGGCTCGGGCAGGGGCCTACGCTCCTCACTGCGAGAGTCCCTGCTTCCTTCCCTACTTGTCAGGTGAGGAAAACTAAGCCTCAGAGAGGCTAAGTAACTTTCCCAAGGTTACACAGCGGAGGCCAGAGTCCTAAACATCCAAATTCTTGCTGTCAGGTGAGCTACTGTCCATACCTGCAGCCAGTTCTGGAAGGAACTAAGGACACTCATATGTAACCGAGCGGCCCCCAAGAGTAGCACTCACTTTACAAGTGGCCCGGGGAAGGGCTAGGGGACTTGACTGTCCCTCCTGGGTGTTCCCAGAGGGCAGGGGGGTTGACTGTCCCTCGTGGGGTGCTCCCAGAGGCAGGGGGGTTGACTGTCCTTCCTAGGGTGTTCCCAGAGGGCAGGGGGCTTGACTATCCCTCATGGGGTGCTATCAGAGGGCAGGGGGCTTGACTGTCCCTCGTGGGGTGCTCCCAGAGGGCAGGGGGCTTGACTGTCCCTCGTGGGGTGCTCCCAGAGGGCAGGGGGCTTGACTGTCCCTCATGGGGTGCTCCCAGAGGGCAGGGGGGTTGACTGTCCCTCGTGGGGTGCTCCCAGAGGGCAGGGGGGTTGACTGTCCCTCGTGGGGTGTTCCCAGAGGACAGGGGGGTTGACTGTCCCTCCTGGGTGCTCCTAGAGGGCAGGGGGCTTGACTGTCCCCGGTGGGGTGTTCCCAGAGGACAGGGGGCTTGACTGTCCCTCATGGGGTGCTCCCAGAGGGCAAGGGGCTTGACTGTCCCTCGTGGGGTGCTCCCAGAGGGCAGGGTGGTTGACTGTCCCTCCTGGGGTGTTCCCAGAGGGCGGGGGCTTGACTGTCCCTCATGGGGTGTTCCCAGAGGGCAGGGGGGTTGACTGTCCTTCCTGGGGTGTTCCCAGAGGGCAGGGGGCTTGACTGTCCCTCGTGGGGTGTTCCCAGAGGGCAGGGGGCTTGACTGTCCCTCGTGGGGTGCTCCCAGAGGGCAGGGGGCTTGACTGTCCCTCGTGGGGTGTTCCCAGAGGACAGGGGGGTTGACTTTCCTTCCTGGGGTGTTCCCAGAGGGCAGGGGGCTTGACTGTCCCTCGTGGGGTGTTCCCAGAGGGCAGGGGGGTTGACTGTCCTTCCTAGGGTGTTCCCAGAGGGCAGGGGGCTTGACTATCCCTCATGGGGTGCTATCAGAGGGCAGGGGGCTTCACTATCCCTCGTGGGGTGCTCCCAGAGGGCAGGGGGCTTGACTGTCCCTCGTGGGGTGTTCCCAGAGGGCACGGGGGTTGACTGTACCTCGTGGGGTGCTCCCAGAGGGCAGGGGGCCTGACTGTCCCTCGTGGGGTGCTATCAGAGGGCAGGGGGCTTCACTATCCCTCGTGGGGTGCTCCCAGAGGGCAGGGGGCTTGACTGTCCCTCGTGGGGTGCTCCCAGAGGGCAGGGGGCCTGACTGTCCCTCGTGGGGTGCTATCAGAGGGCAGGAGGCTTCACTATCCCTCGTGGGGTGCTCCCAGAGGGCAGGGGGCTTGACTGTCCCTCGTGGGGTGTTCCCAGAGGACAGGGGGCTTGACTGTCCCTTGTGGGGTGTTCCCAGAGGACAGGGTGGTTGACTGTCCCTCGTGGGGTGCTCCCAGAGGGCAGGGGGCTTGACTGTCCCTCGTGGGGTGCTCCCAGAGGACAGGGGGCTTGACTGTCCCTCGTGGGGTGCTCCCAGAGGGCAGGGGGCTTGACTGTCCCTCATGGGGTGCTCCCAGAGGGCAGCGGGCTTGACTGTCCCTCGTGGGGTGCTCCCAGAAGGCAGGGGGCTTGACTGTCCCTCGTGGGGTTCTCCCAGAGGGCAGGGGGCTTGACTGTGCCTCGTGGGGTGCTCCCAGAGGGCAGGGTGCGGGCAGACACTTCCGAGGCTAGGGCCACCCTCTCACCACATGTCTGACTTCTTCTCTTGATGCCGATGTCTTTGTGCCTTCCTGCAGGTCTGGGTAGATGCTGGAACGCAGATCTTTTTCTCCTATGCCATCTGCCTGGGCTGTCTGACTGCTCTGGGAAGTTATAACAATTATAACAACAACTGCTACAGGTGAGCATCTCCCTGGCCCTGCCCGCCTCCACCAAACCCAGAGCCCCCACGCCGCCGGGCTGGGGTATGGCCGTCTCCCCACCTTGCCCTCCTGCCCCAGGGGGAGACACCTGGGCTGTTTGTTGGCTTTCTCTGCCCAAGCATCACAGAGTGGGCCCCCAGAGGAGCTGGGACAGCAGCAGGCGTGCTAGAGTCTGTTCCAGGCTGCAAAGCGAATCCAGCCCTGCAATCTCTTCCGGGTCTCAGGGTCGCCCTGTATGGTAAAGATTTGCCCCAGGGTGCGTAAGTGACTTGCCCAAGGTCACACAGCTAGCAAGTAGCACTTGGAGGGCCTTGTCCATCTACTTTCTATTCAGAAACCTTCTTGCCCTTTCTCACTTGACTGTAAGGTCCTCTCCTGCCCCACCTGGAGTGGCCAGTGACCCACATTGGCCCTCAGCCTAACTGGCCTCCCTGGTCTCCTGCAGCTGGCGGCCCCAGGGATAGGGGGGTTCAGGGGTCCAAGGCTATCTGAGCCCTGACCACCTGACCTCTCACGGCTGCAGCCTGAGTTGTTCAGTGGGGCTGAGACCCACAGAGGGCAGGGGACTTGCCCAAGGTCACCCAGTGGCACATGGTGGAAGTTACGGTATAGGATGATGGTCTATTTGTTGAGGTCTCTGCACCCTTGAAGTCAGGGCTGGCACGCAATAGGTGAAGATTTCCTGGATGGACGGACTCTTCCTTAGAGTTAAGATGGGTGGGGAACATTTCCATGTTGGAAGGCCACGTTAACCTAGCTGTAATCAAATAAGGCCACGTTCAAGAAACTTCAATTAGATATACTTAAAAATGTACATTATTTTGTAAAAATCTAACTATTATGTACTTAATAATTTCAAAAAATGAAAGCTATTTGTTAATGTTAAAGTTAACTAACCTTTTAATGACTTCATTGTGTTTGCTTTGGGTTGGAAAGCATTTGAATGTTTGGTTGCAGGATGGAGGTCCACAATTTCAGTTGATCTTCTAGATGGGTGTCAGTCACTTGTGACCTTAAGGGCGTCTTGATTTGGGTTAGGTGGGAGACTGTAGATTCACAGCAATAAGTGGTTGAAAGCAAGAAAGCATTTTTTGGGGCATGTTGCAGAAGGCGTGGGTATTCTACTGCATTTCCCATATTTCAACTGGATCTTCCTTAGCATCAAACAATGACTAAAATGTCATCTACCGAGAGCTCAACCAATTCCATCTGTAGTTTGTTAGGTGCCTTGGTGATGTCATCTAGGTGAGGCTGACATGCTAATTTGAGTGTGATGTCATGATTCTCAAAGTCAGTGAACCTTCCACTGTATTCTCCAATTAATAGTTCTGTAATGGCTGTGTACTCTTCAAAGGACTTGCTTATGTCATCCTGCTCATCAATGACCTTTGCTAACTGGGGAAAATGTTCTTCTAAAATTTCCTTTTGAAGAAGTATTTTGAAAAAAGCTATCTTTTTGCAAAATGCTTGGGGTTTTCTTTGCCACATATCATATATAGACTTAGTTTTACCTTGCAAAGAAATAGTCAAGTCATTTTGATTTGACATGGTATCACACAGAAATGTTGCATTCTTATAGAAATCTTCTTTCAATAATTCACATTGCTGATTCTGTTCTTCATAAAATTTAATGATCTGTTCTTGCAGAGATAAAATGTTGGCTAACACCTGCCCCTGCCATAGCCAACACACTGTAGGATGATATGGCAAATCCACACTGAATACCTCATCGTTCAGCTTTAGTGTGTTATGAAACTGATGATGCCATATTGCATTTGCACAAATATGGTTAACAATATTTATAACTTGTCACAAAGTGTCCATTAAAATAATAGCCTTAGCATAGAGATTTTGCTGATGCAAGATACAATGAAAAGAAATGAAAGTATCTGGATCTGTTAATACTTTTTTATCTGTGCAATAAACCCTTCATGTTTTCCTGTCATGGAAGGTGCACCGTCTATACATACACTCACTAAATTTACTAAATTCAGTCCAACTTCACGACATTTATCTAGAAAGTTGTTGAAGGTATCTATTCCCTGTGTTCTGTTTGCAAGAGTGCCCAAAGTGAGTAACTCTTCATAGCAAAGAAAATCTTCTGTTATGACCCGAATGAAGTCTAAAACCCATGCCAAGATAGTAGTATCAGTTAATTCATCCAAAGCAATTGAATAATATATATTTTCCTTTTGAAGTATTGCATGAAGTTGTTCTGTTAAGTTAAAGGCTAATTCATGCTGCCAATCAGTTATTGTTCTCCTTGAAAGAGGCAGTTATTTGTACTTTGAAACATCATCAGGGTCTAAGCATCCTGCAACTTTGGTGATGCATTCTTTCACAGTTTCTACGTCACTGAATGGCTTCCCTTGTTTCCCGAGTATATAAGCTACTATATAAGTTGCTTTGGTGGCATTATTTCCAGGTCTTATTGTTGCTTGAAAGAATTGTCTTTGCTTTTGCTTTTCATTTTTTAATTTCTGCAGTACAACCTTTCATGCCTGTCGCTCTGATTTAAAATATTTATGGTCCTTATAGCGTTATCCTTCTGATGAGCATTGAATTTCTTTAATGTTGACATTACAGTATCACACAGCAAGCAAATCATTTTATCTTTAGCAGGAACAAGATAATATTACAATTCCAAACCCTCATTTAAAAATCTGTCTTCTTCCTTCAGAAGAAAAATCTGTTCTCTTGGTCTTCTTTGACATCATGGGCTATTAAGCAGACAGAATTTAAAAATACTGTTGACCTATGCAACTATTCACAAATTCCACTTCAAACAGAAACACAGTGCACCCTTGTCAAAAGCTGATAACAGACTGGTGTACTCGACCCCCATAAACTCTCACCAACCAGCCTCGTGCAGAAGTGGTGCCAGTCAGGCGGGGGAAGTGAGCACTAAATCATGATCCTAGCAGCCTTTAATTTAGCCCTTATGGTTTACTAATGTTCTAATTGTGCTGGACAATCTGGGAAGATTATTTCATTGAAACTTGTTTTCTTCTTTAGTATTTCATTTAAAAAATAAAAATATAAAAGGTGAATAAAAATGTATTAATAAAAATAAAAGGATTTGTTCTGTAAAATTTGGATTCAGTCAAAAGACCGCAATTAAGGACCTAGAAGGCCACATGTGACCTTAAAGCTGCAGGTTCCCAGCCTTTGTCTAAGAGCTCCTTAATCAGGGAAAGATCATGGAATGACAGCAGAACCCTCCCTGATCACACACTAGTTAGGCAAGGAAGGGAGGAAGGAGTTTTTCAACAAATGATTCTGAGATGGGATAAGTATTAGGGGTAATAAATTATTAATAGATCCTTTACTTTATCCCATATATTCACCATAAGAAGTGACAAATTGATTAAAGAGTTAAATGTTTTTAGAAAGAAACTATTCTATAACTAGGAATAGAATATTGATTCCAGAATGGGAAAAATGTAGAAAAAATAATTAAAGAAATCACAAAGGAAGTGACAGATTGGTCCACATAAAAATGTAAAACTTCTAAATTTTTGGAAAGAAACTGAGAAAACTATTCAAAATAGCCACCTCTGCACAATGGAACTGGAAAGTCAGAGGTGGGGAGGTGGGCTCTTTCCTACTTGTACCTCCTATGCAATTTAAATGGGTTTTTGTTTTGTTTTGTTTTAACTCCACATACATATTTCTTTTATAATTTAAAAAAATCAAGTTAATATAAATATCATCTACATACTTTATCTCCAAATAACATTTGAAAATCATCTGCAAAACTAAAGGGCATACGAACAACATATAGTAAGAAACTCAAAGGGTTTATTATGTTCATAATATGTAAAAACTACTAACAGATCAACACGGAAAACACTAAAACACCAATAGAAAAATAAGCAGCTCCACACGAGTAGAGTTTATAAAAAAAAAAAAAAGAAAAAAAAAGAAAAATAAGCAGCATGCTCTTAAAATAATGAGATTGTTTTTCTCAACCAGCAACTTGGCAGTGGTCTAAAAATGGATCCTGACCCATATAGGCAAGGACGCCTCAGACGGTCATGTCACACTCCACTGGTAGGATGGAAACCCGGAAGTAACGACGACATCGCTTGATCATTGTGTGGCGCAAGTGGCACCGTGCATTTGAAATAGCTTTTGTAAATGATCAGTCCCTCCCACACTATCCTGTCTTCGATAAGGAAGTGAGGCTCGTGGAGGCAGTCCCCAGCCAGACATGCCAGAGCCAGGACTCTGCCCAAGGTCTCAGCGCCCATCCCTGGGCCATCTGTTGCATCTTTCTGGAAGCTAGTGTAGTGACGGCTTCGCTAACTCGTTTGTTAAGTCAGCAGCGCGTGCTGTGTGTCTACCGAGTGCGAGGTGCTGGAATACTGCCTCGGGGGAGCCAGACAGCAATGGCACAGTCTATAGAGTTTGTATTAGCATTTTGGGGAAACTGAAGCACTGAGGAAGTCAAAGTGGGCAGGTCCAACCTGCTGAAAAGAAAGTTATTGTAGAATCCAGTGTGCCATTAGGCAGCGAATTCTGTTCCTGGGGCCTCTGAACAAGGTGATCGGGTATTGCTGGATGACAAAGAGATGCCACAGAGAGGGGCGGCCAGACCGGGCTGTCTGCAAGAGCGCCTCCAGGCTTCTACGGAAGATGTGCATCTGGGTGGTAAGAGGTAAAGCTCTTTGTCAGCCACGATACAGAATATGAACCATGGACAGGAAGGGAGAGGCACGTGGATAGGAAGAAGAGCACAAGCAGGCTTCGGGTCCGGGCTGAGTCCCACCCCCTGGGGACCCTGGAGAGAGGCGCTGTCCGCATATAGTGTTCACCTTGTCTGTGTTGGCGGCGCAGGGCCTCCTGGCCGGGCATGGCAGAACTCACTTGGCGCCTGCCGCCCCCAGCCAGGCCGCCAGCACCACGAGGACACAGGAGTGCGTGTTCCCCACTGCCGCCCTCAGACTGAGCCCAGTGCGGGCTCGCACGCAGGGAGTGAGAAAGGAGCCACCTGTTACAAAAGCGAGGAGACAGTGGCCCATGGAGGTTGTCACTTGCTTGTGTTCACTTTGCCAGTGATAGAGTGTGGCCCTTCACCCGAGTCTCTCTGGCTCCTGCAGCCCTGTTCCCGACTACCAAGGATGGCCAGCGGTTTGTTCCGAACTCCTGGAGTTAAAGAGGGCTGGGCCAAGACTGCCTGTCTCCAGCCCGTGTCTGGAGGGAGTGGCAGCTTTCTTCCCCGCCGAGCACGTGCTGTGTGCTGGCCTCTGCAGACCCCTCTGCTCTCCCCCTCGACAGGGAGGGTTTTATTCCCTCTTTCCCATCAGCAGAAGAAAGCAAATCCCCTGGGTGATACTTAAAACCAAAAGGTTCATTTTATTTCCGTTTCCAAATTGTTCTGCAAGTGGGTCCTCCCAACTCCGACGGAGTGAATTAGCGCCCTCTCTGCTGACAGCCCAGCAGCTTCTGGAGGGCTCAAAGCCAGCTCAGCTCTTGCTGACTTCAAAGCCCTGTTACACAAGCCCGTCTAGTCCCCTAGACGGAAGCAGGGGAGGAATTAGGGGCAGGAACGGAGCAGGCCAGGCAGGGAAAATCCTCCCTTTGGGAGACAGCCTGCATAGCTCCCTCTGCTGGAAGGCGGGGTCCTCTGGGGCCTGGGACGAGGGGGCAGGTCATGGGGCTCGAAGGGGCCTCGGGTCCCTGAAGTGCTCCTCTGTCCCTCCATCTGTCTGTCTGTGGTGTGAGGAAATCACTCGAGAGGCCTCTGCCGGAAGACGGGGATTTCATAACAAGGGACATTTGGTTTTCAGCACCCAGGTGGATGCCCAGAGATAACTTTCAAAAGTCAGGATTTGGAAGTCTTAATTCTTAGGGTGCGTCATGTCTGTTTAGCTCCTGGAAGGATTATGGGCTTTGGTGTCTGCGACAGCTGGATTCACGTCCCCCATTCACCGCCTGACGGTGACCCCTGGAGCATGTAACTCGCTTGCCCCAAGCCTCAGGGTCCGGTGAGACCTAGCATGGGGCCTGGGGCGCTGCAGACCCTCACAGCAGGGGACAGGAGAGTTCCGGAGTGTGGTGCATGTGCGACACTTGCCACCTCCTCCGCACTGGGGGAGAAGTCGGGGCCATTTTGCCTCAGGCCTTAGGAAATGGGCGGAAGGACCGGACTTACACAAACCTGAGGAATAATTCTGCCCCACCCTGGACTAAGCTGCCTTTCCTTTTGAGCGGCGAGACATCCGGCTTGCAGAGTGCCCAGGCCTGCCGGCCCGGCCAGCATGCAGTGGCAGAAGAGCTCTCTCCCGGGGCCTGTGTCGCTCACCCGCTGCCACTGCGCTGCTGTGTAACAGACGGCCCCAGCTCTCGGGCTGCCCGCGAGTGTCTGGTTCATGGCTCACGAGCCGCTGGGCAGCGGCGGAGGCTCTTCTCCAGGCTGTGGGTTGGGGGCTGCAGGGTCCAGGCCAGGCGCAGGTCTGCTCCACGTGCGGAAGGGACGGCAGCACCCTCGGGAAGTTCTTCCCACGGAATCACAGGAACGAGCACAGAAATGGACAAGCCGGGCATGCAGGCACGTCTCAGGCCTCTGTTTGTGCCACGTCTGCTAACGTCCCTTGTCCAAAATAAGCCATGGTTGATCTAGTGCAAGATCCAAGAGACCCTGTTATCCAAGGACCTTGTCTTGTAGCCAGTGAAATGCGGTTCAAAGAGAAGATAGTGCAGGGAGAATTGGAACCCAAGGCTCCTGACCTCCAGTCCAGTGCTCTGTCCATTATGCCCTTACTCCTAGGGTCATCACAAGGCAACAAACAGGGTGCTACAGCCACCAACAACATTAGTGTGACCTTTGGTTGTATTACAAAAAGTATGGTGTCAGGAGAAGAGGTTAGAGTCCTAGGATCCTCGAGTCTAGTCCTGGCTGTGACAATTGGAGAGGGGCTGGGCGTGCTAGAGCATACAGAGTGAGTGAGGCCAGCCCGCCACCCACAGGGATGCACTCTGGGCCAGGCATGCCTCTGGCAGGAGATTGGACGAGGTCACCTGGGAGCTCCACCCTGTTCAGTGAGGGTGCTGGCGCAGCGGAATGACTGAGTCCCAAGTCCGGGCACTGCTGCGGCTGAGATTCTGAAGGACTGACTCCCGATTCGGCCACGTGCGGGTGCTGAGCCCAAGGCAGGGCGCTGGGACTTGAAGCTGCCTTCTGCATCTTGACAGAGCGCCATCCTTGCAGTCCGATTGCTCCTGAGGCCTGGCTTCAGGCTGGAGAGCCCCTCCCAAGAGCAGGCCACAGTCACTGCTTCAGTAAATCTCTGCATGCGGGCTCCGGCCTGGAAGGGGCTGCCCAGCACAGCCGGAGAGCAGGGACCGAGGAGGGGGCTGCAGACGCTGCTCCCAGGAGCAGGGGCCGCGCCAAGCCCCGCCCCCAGAGGCTGCTGAGCGCTGAGGGTGGGCCCCCTGCTCCCACCCTGGGAAGCGCCGTTTCACCCAGAGCCATTTCCCACCCTCCTTGCTTTGAGCTCCCAAGAACAGCGTCCTCTCGCTTTCCCCGGCCTTCCATCCCACCAGGGATTTGGGGAGTGTTGGTTGGTCTCAGGGATTTTCTCACGTGCCAGCCTTCTTTCCTTCCCACTGCCACTCTGTGCTTTTAGTCTGTGACCTGCCTTAGCTTTTGAAATGCAGGCAAAGCTGTGTGACTGTGCGGCAGCTGCCTAACCTCTCTGAACCACAAGTGCTCTACCAGGAAAACGGCCGCTCTGCCCTGCCAGCCCTGCAGGACGGCCACAGGTGCTCAGGCGGAGAGTGTGCACCTGTCCCTCCCCCTGACCCAAGCGCCTCTTGTGCCCCTGCAGGGACTGCATCATGCTCTGCTGCCTGAACAGCGGCACCAGCTTCGTGGCGGGGTTCGCCATCTTCTCGGTCCTGGGCTTCATGGCGTACGAGCAGGGCGTACCCATTGCCGAGGTGGCAGAGTCAGGTAAGTTTGCTGAAGGTGCAGGCGTGCAAGGCCAGGGCGGGCGAGGGAGGCTTCGGGTGGAAACTGCAGTGCAGATACGGTCTTCCTGCTCTGCCCGGTCACCGCCAGGGTTCAGGTCTCAGGGAGTGGCCCACCATCCACCCATAATCCAGGAGTCACCTGGATCACCTTGACGCCTCCTCCCTTCTGAACCCAAGGTGTCCCCAAGTGCTGCTGATTCTGCCTCCTTAACATCTCTGCACTTCCCTCACGTCCCCCTGGCTGCAGACTGTCCCCACTAGGCTGCACCACCGCCACCGTCACCACTCCCTGGCTGCTGCGGGAACCTGCTGCTGCTCTCCGCCTCTGCTGCTGTCCCTTCCATGCCATGCTCTGCCCTACAGAGTGGCGTTTCCACGTGCAACTCTGCACATAATCCTTCTCTGATGCAGAGCCGTTCTTGGCTTCTCATGGTGCTGGGCTCTTAGCACGGCCACAGGGCCGGACACTGCCCCTCCTGTGGCCTCCTCACCTGCCGCGCACCCGACATCACTGCCCACCACGGGGTCTGTTTCACCTCTGCAACGTGCCTCACGGCTGTTCCCTGTGCCTCACACTGTTCCCTGTGCTTGGAGAGCCTCTCCCCCCTCTGTCCCGTTCCAGGCATAGAATCGCCATGAGTGCGACAGCCTTCAGTGTACATTGACATGTCACTTGTGTCCAACCCACCGTAGGCAGGGCTATCATTGTGAGGTGATTGTGCAAAGTGCAGAAAAACTCTTCCCTTGATTTCCCTGGTGCTTGAATTCCTGGGAATTTCAGTGTATATGAAAAAGTACAAAAATAGTTTGGGTTTACTGACAAATGGAGTTGGCTTCTGACCTCAGACAAGTATATGCAGGTTTGTCACCTACAGGCATGTTCAGCAGGACGATTAGCTGAGAGCAGTGCACCACGTCTGGCCTCCCTGATCTGTCTGCTCAGGGCCAGCTCTGCGCCCATTCCTTGTGACAGCCACACTGCCTCCCTCGCGAGCCCTGGCCCAGGATGTGGCCGTTTGCGTTTGGCGTGCAGAGTCTTACCCACCGCGGGGGCAGATCAGTGCGTGTGGACATTGAAAGAGGAGGCTGGTTAGAGCTCTGCTCCATGGCTGCTGAGGGTCCACTGCCCTCCTGATCATGTTTAGTAGAGATACGGGTGAGGTCCCTGCTGAAGTCAGGCAACCAGAGCTAGACCAGAGGATGTTAATACAGTCAGACCACTGGGCACCTACTCAGTGGGCAGAAACTGTCACGTGTTATCTCATGTGATCTTTAGCTCAGTCCTCTGAAGTTGCGCTTTTTCTATCCCCATTTTACAGATGAAAAAACAGGTTCAGAGAGGTGAGGTCACTTACCTTAGGTCACACAGGCTGGCAGTGACAGAGCTGGAACTGAACTGAGCTCATGCTGTGACCACTCCATCCCACTGTGGCCAGAGTACCTGGCACTTCACGAAATGCCACTGCCTCGTCCTCACTGTAAACCACAGCAGCCCTGCAAGGGGGGGATCATTACCTTCTCAACAAGAGCTTTACTTTCTGTTGAGAATCCATTTCCACCTCTATAGAATGAACGCCCTGATTCCCTCCTCATAGCGTTAAGTGAGAGAGTATATCTACAGCGCTGTTGTTATTCTTTTTGTCATTGCTGCCATTTTACAGATGAATCCCAGAGAAGAGTCATAGAAAGGAAAAGAGCTAACTAAAAGTAAATTTTGTTGGATCTGGTTTTCTTTCTCACTTAAAATGGAAAGCATATTCACCATAGAAAAATACAGAAATATTGACAAAGGAAAACACATTCAATCCAAATCCAATACAACAGTTCGAGGTTATCCTGCTAAGATTTTTCATGCATATGTAGCTGTAAGTGTTGTGATCAAAACTGGAACATATTATCCTCGCTATCTCATAGGCTGAATTTTCCACTTACAATAAAACCTGAAGAGCTCAGTAAAAGGAAATCGCCACCGTGAGTTTTGATGGCTGCACGGCGTCCGCCGGATGGACGCACCGTAGCCAATTTACTTGGCCCTGCCCTTCAGGCCTGGGTTAGCTGTCTTTCACACACTACCTCGTGAAATGCTCGTGGCTCCTTGGCCAGGCAGGCTTCATCAGGGCCTCCGCCCGTGGGCTGCGCAGACTGTGCCCTGCACAGCTCCACAGACGCTGGTCACGCAGCAGCTCTGGGCTGTGTCCGCCCATTACGGATGGGGACTCTGTAGTTCAGGGAGGGGAAGTGGTTCACCGAGGATCACCCAGCTCCTGAGTGATGCAGGTGGACCTGGCTTTTCCTGCTCGCTTTCTTGTGTCGATCCTGCCGCCAAGCGGGGAAGCCTCCTCTATGCCCCCGGTTGGGGTGGTGGTCAGAACAAGATCCTCTTTAGGAGTCTGCCATTAGGAGAAATGCAACTTGCAACTAAATATGTAGCCAACTCACCTTTCTCAGAAGGACCTGAGCTCACTTACTGAGGAATGATTTTTGGACGATACTTAATTAGATGCCAGCATACTTAGTGGGATGTCCTGGCAAAACCTTGGAGACTGAGCCAGGGAGCAGAATGCATGTCTTCCAGGGCTCAGATTTTGCCCTCTCCTAAGCCCAGTGCCCAAGATACGCTGACCTCCCCCCATGTCCTCCAGTCTGTCTCTGACACTTTTGCAGTAAGGGTGCTCTCTCCTGGAGTAGAGATTTTACATAACTTATAGTTGGGTCTTGCATTTTTTTTATCCAGTCTGATAATCTGTACCTTTTACCTGAAGTATCTTATCCATATGCATTTTGTAATTATTAATATGGTTAGGTCCCGAAGTCTGTTTTAAGGCAGAAACTGTCAGAATAATAATCAGAAATGGGAAGTGTCAGTTGTGTGGTGGAAGTGCAGAGTGATGTTATTAACTCTAAGTAGACTTTGATAAGTTACAGTGTATCTTTTTAGCCCAACTGCTTAGAAAATAATAAAAAAAGTAGAGCTAAAAAGCCAATGGAGGAAATCAAATTAAATATTAAAAAATATTGATCAGCCCAAAAGAATGCAGGAAAAGTACAACAGAGTAAAACAAAACAAAATAAAAACAGAAATCCAGAAAGAAAACAAATACAAAACAGTGGTCTTAAACCCAGCCATATCAATAATTACATTAAATGTAAATGGACCAAACCCACCAATTTAAAGGCAGATTATCAAACTGGATTGAAAAAATAAACAAGACCCAACTATAAAATGTCTAAAAGAGACACACTTTAAATTTTAAGGCACAGTTAGATAAAGTATAAAAGAATAGGTAAAGGTATACTGTGCAAACAATAAGCGTAAGAAAACTGTCTTGACTATATTAGTATTAGCCAAAGTCTAGGAGTATTACTAGAGATAAGGAGGGACACTTTGTAATGATAAAAGGAGCAATTAATTAAAAAGACATAACAATTCTAAGTGTGTTTACACCTAATAACAGAGATTTGAAATACATAAACTTAAAACTGATAGAACTAAAGGGGAAAATAGATAAATACAGTTGGAGACTTTAGCACCTCTCTCTCACTAATGATAGAACAATTATACAAAATTTCAATAAAGACATAGAGATCTGAACAATACTACCAATCACATTAACTTAATTGACATTTATTAAACATTACACCTAAATAACTGTAGAGTACAATTCTTTTCAAATGGACATAGAACAGTCACCAAGATAGACCATATGCTAGGCTATAAAATAAGTCTCAATGTATTTAAAGAGGTTGAAATTATACAAAGTGTGTTTTCTGACTATTACCAAATTAAGTTAGACATCCATAACAAAGGATATCTAGAAAATCCCTAAGTATATGTAAATTAAACAACACACTTCTAAATATCCCATGGTTCAAAGGAGAAAATATTTCAAACTTAATGGCAATGAAAACACAACATATCAAAATCTGTGGGATCTAGTTAAAGTACTTAGAAATTTATAGCATTAAATACCTATATTAGAAAAAATAAGGATTTAAAATTTTATATCTGAATTTCAATCTTAAGAAGCTAAAAAGGAAGTAAAAATTAAACCCAATGTAAATAGAAGTAAAGAAATAATAAAAATAAGATATACAAATAATAGAGCATATCTTAAAAGCCAAAATGTGGTCTTAGACAAGATGAACAAAATTTATAATGCCTTAGCAATACTAATCAAGGAAAAAATTAGAGAAAACACAAATAACTAATATCAGGAATGAAAGAGGTGATATGGCTACAGATTCTGTAGACATTAAAATTGAAAATATGGGAATATCATGAAAAACTTCAAGCTAATACATTTGATAATGTAAGTTATATGGGAAAAATTCTTTAAAAATATAACGTAATCATACTAAAGAAGAAATTTAAAAGCTCTTTATCTTTTAAAGAAACTGATTTCATTATTTAAAACCTTTTGAATAAGAAGACTCCAGGCCTTGATGGTTTTACTAGTGAATTCTATCTAACATTTATTAAAGACATATCAATCTTACACAAACTCTATTAAAACTTAGAAGAGGTAAGATTTCTGAGTATCTGAGAACAAGGACAGCTATCTAGCTACTTATCTCTCAAAATTTTCTTCCCAAACCACAAGAAAAAAACCAAGAAAGTAAAAGTATATTCTACATAAAATCATGTCACCTGCAAATAACTGAAACAGAAAGAAAAATCACCAAAATTCCAGGGCACAGTTTTTCAAATGACTGCTCATGGCTGCATAGCTGCAAGGCTTCATGGTGAGAGCAAAGGTAGACTGGGAAAAACCATGGGAAGAACAGAAGAGGGAGGCAAGCAAAGGATTCTAAGGCTGATTTGGAGCAATCACCAGATTAAATCCACTCTAAATCTGAAACTACTGAAAAGGATCCAAGGCAGACCCTATAGCATGGACCACAGAAAGGGGTTTGAAATATGTTCTATTTAAAGGGCAAGAACCATTTAAAGGGAGAGACATGGGGTATAATTTAAAGGAG